AAAAAAAAAAAGAATAAAAGTTGTTAAGAATAAAAGCTCTCTGTAAATTCCTGTAGGGTAGCCCCTGGAAATTTTATCTTAAGCTCTTAAATTTCTATTTATGTAACATTGGGACTTTCTTTAATTTTTTGCAACATTATGGTAATAATCTCTACACTATTTTGCTACTGAATTGTTTTTCACAGTAATCTTTAAAAAGCTTGGATACCCTTGCCATGATGAAGTTATTCTTCCAAGAGTAACTCTAAATTAGAGTTGAATTTCTTTGCCACCTTTTTACTACATATAAGCAAGTCAGTCAGGTGACCTCTACAGGCATCCAAAACCACAAAGTAAACAATGTAAAACTATCATTTCCTTTTACCCAAGTGCCATAAAAGTCACGAACCTAATTACTACTAAACCTTTATCATCTCTCTCTAGCACTTTGAGAAAAGAGTTCTAAGATTAATAATTATTTGTACTTAAAGAATTATAGCAGTAAAAACTATTTTGTTTTTAAAGTATGAGACTCAAAAACAAACAGCTATGTTTTCAAATGCAGGGCTAAAACGCTAATGACTATGAAAAAAGCGGTAAGCTGGGAGTCTTGCTCCATAAAAGCTGCAGTTTACAGGCATTACCCTCCTTTGGAACTCCTGCATTAGGTGATAATTACAGAACTACTAGTAGTCAGTCCCCAAACCGGCTCAACAATCCAAATCTCCAAACATCCTCCTAATCCAGTCTCCTGATTACTACCTCACAATGAACCACCACTCCTGAGAGATCAGACCAAAATTAGCAACACCCTAAAAGGCAAACATCCTCAAGGACCTGTGTCCAATCTTTAATCTGAAATGCATCTATCTGCTACCTAGTTACTTGCTTTTAACTCCCACAAAACCAAAAATGGGCATAAAGACTGCCAAATAAATACTAGAATGAGTCTTGGCATGCTGTGCTTATTAGGAACACAGATTTTCTAACTTTAATTCATAAACATTTTCCCTTATAGTCTGGTGCGGGGGGCAACTTTTGACATTTTTTGAATAATAGGGAAGATAAAGCACAAATAGAACTTTGACTAGAGGCTTGGCACCTGTGGCTCAAGTGGCTAAGGTGCCAGCCACATACACCTAAGGTGGCAGGTTCAAA